TCCAACCCTGGCCATTCTGTGATTCTGTGATGGTGGTTATGCCCAACTGATGGATATGTAGGAATCTTGAGGTTTCTTACGGTTTTTAGGCACGTCCAAAACTTGGGCAGGTCACATAATTGCCTAGAAATACAAAGCTCTCACTGAAGTGCTGTTACTGCAAATATACTTTTCCTGTCATTCTTTAGCATTAAAATAATGCATAGTTGCGTTAGCCTTTAAAACTGTAGGTTGTTTCTTGAGGAATCATTTTCAGGTAAGCTATGAAGACTTTGCAACTGACAAGTTTTCCATGCAAATATTTGCCCTCTTTCCCAAAATGCCTCCTTATCTGCTCAGCAGTGTTATAAGTTTCAGCTAATCCTCCAACAGCAGCTGCCACAGTTCCAGATAAGCAACTTTTGAAGTGGTGCAGCTCCAAGCTGCTCTCCTGCTCTACAGGAGTTCAAACGGTCTTCTGTTTGTGGAAGGGCTCATCAAGGTACAGAACGTGCCATTTCAGTTCTTTTTTGCTGGGCTCTGGGAGCAAACCTGAATGTTTTTCACTGGTTTTCGGGAAGGTTGAGCAAATTCTGGGTCTACAGAAGCATCACAAGTTTAGGTTTATTTAACCTGTCTTTAAAAATCTCTCTTGGGTACTTGGAAGAGCACTGAAAGGATTGGTTTTCTTAAACCTAAAGGTGTAGTAGTGGTAGAATCTCAAGGGAACAGAGACGTTTTAGGTGAAGGCGTTTGTTGATTGCTAAAAAGATTTTAGGAAAAGCCACCAGTGTGTGAACAAAGATCACTTAATGAAGGAATAGCGTTTTGTGAATTTCTGACTGGGCTTATCTACCCTTTGGCAGGCACTAACATGAGCCTGGACCACCACAACCAAGGAGACCGCCTTCCCTCCCCATGTCTTGAGGAGAGCAGACACTGATGTGGGCTAGCATGAGCCAGGGTTTCCGTGAGTCACACTTCTTCTAACAGCAGCCTTCACCACTGCAGTAAGAGCCTCAGACTGCAGTAATCCCCACCATAGGGGGATTAAAGACTTCTGGTGGCTTTGAGTGCCTTCATCCTGAGGTTTCGGTGTGCTTTGGATTGTGCCTCATTCATCACATGGAACAACTCCAACTTTCAATACAAAAGATACAAGAGAAGCTTCTCCCAAGTTTAGCTCCACAGTTCTTTTCTGATACGAGCTGTTTGCTCTTAGGGTTAGCCTCAAACCCACAAAAGGTTGTGATCAATTACCTGCAGTTCCCACTCTGTGTCTGTGATGTACATCTACACGTCTGTCATGGAATCATTCAGACTGGAAAAGATCAAGTCCAACCATCAGCCCTTCCCCACCACACCCATTAACCATGTCCCTGAAGTGCCACATCTACAGGTTACTTGGAACACTTCCACGACTGCTGCCTTCACCGCTTATACCTGTGCACAACTTCAGCTATAATGGATGGGCCTCTCAGTGGTACTGAAGCAACCAGATACGTTGAATTGTAAGGTCAGTAGCAGGACATGTGCACAATGACCTGCCTGGTGTAGCATTGCAGGGATGTCCCCAAACCCCTGCTGTATGAGGCTGCATTGTGTGGAGCACTGGAACAGTCTGCCCCAAGACTTGCTCTTAATTGCCTAAATCTGTATATAGTATGAAAATAGTGGCAATCTTTGAAGTTCGTTGGACATATCTGAACTGCAGGGGAACTGACAATTGGCTCTCTGAAAATGAGTGGATCTTTGCAGCACAGCTTTTTGCAGTGCCAAAAAAAAAAGATGCTTTAGTGCTTCTCCGTCTTTTTGTGTGCAGAGGCCTCTGGTTCTTGCTGAACTGGGCACCTGGAGAGGCTGCTCAGGGTGAGTGGCCTTGGTGGGGCAGCTTCTCCAGCAAGAGGAAGGGGAGAACAACTGCTGGTGATGAGACCAGAAGACTAAAGAATTAAAGCCTAGAAACAAATGGGCCAGATGTCCAAAGAGGCAAAAAACTGAAACACAAACTACACGTAGGGCAGATCTGTATTGGAGCTGAATGATGTCTTCAGTATCCTGGAAGGATAGTTTTGGTGTGAGTGCAGTGACAGAGCACTCGGAGAAAGTGTCAGAGCTGCTGCTGGTTCTGGTGCAGAGGTAATTGTGTTTGTTCTGGAGGGTGAGGACAGCCTGCTGTCCAGTGCATGGGGCTGCAGGAGCTGGCTTCCTCATGCACCCAGTCTGCCCTACCTCTCCTCGTGCTGCAGACCTGACTGTGGAATCTCCTCCTCCGCAGCAAAGCCATGAGGGCAGCTGCAAGCCTCAGCATTTGGCTTGTGAGCCCACTGAGTAAATTTGAGCTGGAAATGGTTGCAAAATCTGAATTTGGGGAACAAAAGGTTAAGCTGGCTGTAGACCTTCAGGGTGTTCCTTGGGCTGTGTGTGTGTCCTTCCACCTCAGGTAGCGTGAAGGACAGTGGGGCTTCCCCAGGCTCCCTGAAGGCTCCGCTGCTCAGCATCCTCCTTTCATCTCTCTGCTGTAAATTTAGGGTGGAAACGGGGATTCCCAGACTGACAGTTTCCCTCCGGAAAGCCGCCACAGCCCAAAGCCTGGCTTCAGCTGCCTGCGCAGTTGCCAGACCCATCTAGTAAATAATTCATTTTGCTGTCAGGAGCACACAAAGGGTTTTATGAATGCTGAATTATGTAAACATGGATCTGATTCTTTTTGTCTGTTCCAGGATGGAAACGCTCATAGTGCCAGGGGACTCTGAAGCCAAGTGCAAACGCTGCCATGTTGCCAGTCCAGACGTGGAACAGCTCTCCTGCGGTCAGCGCTGCCTCCTGCTGTACTGCTGTGCCCAGCATGTAAGAGGTTTGGCTGATGAACTCCCTGCTCATCCTGGCCAGCACTGTGGGAGCAGATTTAAGCCTGTAATGGACAGACCAGCTCAGAGAGACACTGGTGTGGGTGTGGAAAAAGAGTAGTTTGTTTCTTAATGTAAAGCAGAGTCCTCTGCTTGCCGGTTAATAAATATTTGGCCAGAACAAAACTGTAGAGCTGATGTCTGAGAGTGTTAAGTGCAGGGGCTGTTCCTCAGCTCTTGCTGAGTGAGGTCTGCACAACCAGGCTGACCACAAACGCTGGCTGTGTGAGGCTGTGTGCATGCAGATGTGCTGGTTTGCTGTCACCACCATTTTCCATTGTTGCTCCCTCAATCTGGCCCTCCTGCACCTGCAGAAGGTATTAAAACCCCTGGGTCTCCTCTTTGAGCAATACTACCAGGCAGAGTCCCCAGCTCCTCCCCAGGTTCTGTCTGGTGCTAACATGCGAAGTAGGTACTGGGCTCACTGAACTGCTGGCTGCCATTTCAGGCTGTGTGTTTATGTAGTCCCTAACAGCTTTCATGTTCCTTGCTTTTGTGCTCTTGGGTGGGCTCAAGGATGAGCCCAGCTCCTGCCAGGGGAGGAGCTTTGGTAGCAGAAGTTTGTAAGTGTGTATTTCTGCTGGATGAGGCCCCATCCCTGCTGTGCCTCTGGGAGGAGAGCTGGGCACAGAAGCAGGGTGCTGCCCCAGCTGCCCTGCAGTAAGCACAGAATGCAGTGGTCCCCACTTGGATTTCTGTCACATCAGGGTCTTCTGGGCTATGTAGTACTGGAACTACTGAAGTCTGTGATAAAACACTAAAGAAACAGGGTGAGGGATGAGAAAAAAATGCACGGTGCTACTCAAAATAATTTAATGTACATGCTATATCCACATTAAGAGGAAACAAGTGTCTTACAGAGATGAAAGACGGCAAAGGATGTGATTTCACAGTGCCAAAAGCTACACATTTTAAAGTGACCAAAGCCAATTATATCAGGAGTGCTCTTTTTCTGGCATGTGATAAGCAGAGAGAAAGGAAAAGGGAACAGCAAACACTTTCCCTGATGGCTGAAGCTGTTGGACCCATCTGGTGAACAAACGTTTTTGTCTTTGGTGTGGTGAGGGGCTTTGGTAGGCACGTGTTTGGTGTAAGTAATATTTGGAGTGGTTCTACCTGTGTTAGTTAATGAAATAAAGAAAACAGATCCAATGCCAGAAAGACTTTTCAACAGAGGGTCTGTTCCCAGCTTGCAGGAACCCTATGGGGAAGGAAAGGCGGCAGGCAGAAAGGGACATCCTTTCCTGCAGTCCTAGCAGCTTACAGAATTGTTAGAGTTAAAAGGAATCCTTAAAGACCACCTAGTCCAACTTCCCTGCAATGAACAGCGGCACCTACAGCTACATCAGGTTGCTCAGAGCCCCATCCAGCCTGACCGTGTCTCCCTCCAGGTTCAGGACATCCACCACCTCTCTGGGCAGCATAATTTCCTAGCAGTGTCCTTCCAGCACTGAGCAAACCAAGTGTCCAGGAGCTGCAAGACACTCTTTGCTCTTCCCAGGTTTTCTAATGCTTATTGTTATACAGACATCTTCCATCAGTGAGCTTTTGGGGATTCCCTCTCGAGTGGGGGTTGTTGTACACAGATCTACACTGTGTAGGCCAAGCGCCTTCTTAGCTGTAGTCCTACAGCTTGTGCAGACTGCTTCACTGTGAAAGAAGGATTCTGAGAAGCCAGGCTGTGTATCCATGCATTTAATAGTCTAGGAAGGTAGATGTACCCTATAAATACTTTCAAAGCCTCAAAAAAAAAGAATCATAATAATCCCTCTACTTCAAGTATAACGCCTTCTTAACACAACGTGTGTGTGAAGAGACAGTGTGTCAAGACCTACACATGCCATACATGCACCGGATGGTCTGAGCATAACTTAGAAGAAATCCACTCCCAGTACAAAAATGTACCCAAATGATGGACCAAATCTCCCCTACGAAGAAGGTGACATTATCCTATTTACAAGAAAATTCTGCTTCAGTTAAAAATGCTAAAAACCATTCTCAAGTCCATATAAAAATAATCATGGCTATGTATGCACACACTTATTTATATACATTTATGGCTTTCACACATTCCAACCTTCTCCGTTAAGTAATGAAATTTAAATACTCTTATCAGTCCTTTTTCTGCTCCTCGGGTTTTTCAGGCTCTTCTTCTCCAACGGATAACGTGCCACTACCGTATTTTCTCACTCTGGTTTCTACTCTGGCAAGTCTCTGCTTAACTTTTTGTTGAGAAGAGCTGTACTCCGCCAAGAGCCTCGCAAACCTCGTCTGCAGTGTATCCAGGGCTGTTTCAAGCCTGTCTATTTTTTCTTCCAAGTCTTTTGGATCAGCTCCTGCTTTTGCTGCTTCCTCATCTATTAAATTGTCTTTCATCAGAATTTGTCGGCCCTTCTCTTCCAGAGCCTTTTTGGCTTCTGGGTATTCTGTGAGGGCTTCCATTAAATCATCTTTAGACAAGCAGAACAAATCCGAATAACCGATACTCCTTATGTTGGCTGTCCTCCTGTTGCCCGATTTGCTGCCTTTGATGTTGAGGATGCTGATTTCACCAAAGTAGCTGCCATCGCTCAGGACTACAAATTGGGTTATACCATCATCTGCCACCACTGCCAACTTTCCCTCCTTTATAATGTACATTTCCCTCCCAATATCTCCCTTCTTGCATATGTAGTCCCCAGGACTGAAGACAGTAGGTTTCAGTTTCAGCACCAGCTCGATGAGCAGTCCAGCTTCACAATCCTGGAATATACGCACTTTCTTCAGTGTGTCCAAGTGGACATTGATGGCAATTTCAGCTTTCAGCTTGTCGGGCAGATTTTTGAGAACTTCCTTTTCATCCACTGTTTTCTTATTGGTCCAGAGGTAATCAAACCACTTAATAACCCTGGCTTCCAAATCCTTCGTTACTTTTCGGAAATGCATGTACTGCTTGATGGAATCGACTTTGGCCTGGAACTCCGCCCTGGAGGCATTCATGTTGGAAATCATGGAGCCCACGTTACCGACGATGGTAGCGAAGATCAAGACTCCCACCAGGAAGTCAATGACCACAAAGAGATACTCCTCGTCCTTCACAGGCGGAGGAGTTTCCCCGATGGTTGTCAGCGTCAGCGTTGACCAGTACAGGCTGTAAATGTACTTCCTCGACAGGCGCCCATACTCCGGGATGGAAACATTGGGGTAGACCCAAGTGTCGGTTCCGAAGCCAATTACCTTTGAAATTGCAAAGTATATACACGCGTTCCAGTGGATGATGATGAGAATGTACAAGACAAGATTTCCAATACGAAACATGTTTGGATAATTTGTCCTGGTTTCTGTGCGGTCAAAAAATTCAAACAGGCGGGCAATCCTCAGCAAGCGGTTAAATCGCAGCTCAGGGTAGTTCAAACCCAGCTTCAGATACGCCAGGTCTGTTGGCAGAAGAGACAGCACGTCCAGCTTGAACTGCACAGTTTGGGTGTAATTATCTCGTAACTTCTTTTCGTCCTTTACCAGCAAGCCTTGCTCAAGGAAGCCTTTAAAGAATAGAAAGAGATGTTCAGAATTACCACCAGCGGTACGGAATGACTTATGTTTCAGACACCTGAGAACATGAAAGCTTGTGCTGTTAAGCATACGGCCAGGAACACGCTGTGACATCATGCTTTATTCTACATTTAAATACTTCAGTTCAGTAAATAGCAACGTAGAGTATGGGTGTCCAACCTTTTGGCTCACCTGGACACACTGAGCAAATAGGAATTCTCACAGGCCACGTACAAAATATATAATACAGTAAACGTGTTTAAGCAACAAAACCTAGTTTTACTTTTGATTCAAACCAAAAAAGAGGGCAACAAAAGCATGAAACTACCAGGTTGGGCATGTATGAGAGCAATGACTGCATTATCAGCACAGTGCTCCCTGCAGTTTTGTGCCCCACTCTGGGACAGCCGTACCTTTGCCTTTTAGGTATCTCTGCAAAAAGAACAGGGAGGTTGGTCTGCCTCGTATTTCATGAATCATTGGCATGACTCAGAACTGAAGTTAAGCGTGTGCTAAGCAGTCGTGCATAAAATCAAAGTGGAATATTTTTAAATAAAGGTGCAATGAATTGCCAGAGAGTTTTGTAGAAGAGTTTTTTGGATACCCCCAAGGCCATGACAACCATTTTCCCTGGAGCCATGCCTTTTCTCTTGCACCAGTGTAACAGCTGACTTCACTTTTCATGGTGCAGCAAATGCTTTGCTTTTCCTTTTGTATGTTCCAGTGAGAGAGCTGCCTGAAAGCAGAATCTTATACATTAGTATTTCTTCATTCCAAAGACTCTGAAAAGCATTAGATTTTAAGAGCTATGGGAAGATGCAAACTGCAGTATGACCTTAAACTGTACCTGCGGAAGAGTGCTCACAGGAACACTGCACGAGCAGCACAGCTGCAGGACTGGATCTTACCTCTGAAAGCTCACAGCATTAAATACATTGCACAGAGAGCAGCCTACACACTGCAAAACACTTGCATCCAAGCGTCTGCCCGCTAGGGCAGGCAGGAGGAAAAGTGCACAGAGAGATTTCCTGTTTATCAGAGCTTATCACATTTTGCTCCTCGTTCAGCAATCTTGCAACAGCAACTGTCTCAGAGAAGCATCTGCTGCAGGGGACCCAGCTGCACTTCGTTCTGCCCTGTGCAGCACTGCTGCATTTCTGGAATGTCTGCATACCTGCACATCTGCCTCATGTATGTGTGTGTCAGTCCGTAGGTAGTTGTAAACTGATGGTGAGTACAAAAAGAATCAGTTGCTGTGCCACGGATGTGTCACCTCACAGGAAACTGCTAGAAGAGCTGCTCAAATATGTCCTTATTAGCACTGCTATATACCTAGACAGAAAAGCTGGCCAGGCAACTGGATTTCTGACTCATCGTTATTAAAAATAGCTCTGAAAACACATCCCTTCTGAAGGTAGGTAACAGCTCCTCAGCTCTGTTTTGTCCCTTCATATAACTGCATTGTACAGAAAAACCTCCTGAAAGCATCCAACCATGGTGTGAACCAATGATGATCAGTGAGAGGCGACGCCTTTCTGCCTCACTGCAGTCATCAAGTAGGAGAAATGCAATGAAGCTGCAGCACACCACAGAGAAGCTGCCACAGATCACAGTAGCTGTGGGGCTGCTCAGATCCCAGTGTGAAGTCAGTTCCTACCCTGACGCAGCACGGAGTCACGCTCTTCCCCAGTGGCTTCCTGCACCTTGCAGTTACAGGAGAAGACAAGCAGACACATGTGGAGCCAGGAGGGGTTGCAAAGTGAATTGTCAAAGATCTCAGCACCTAAAAGAACCAACTCCCCCATGTGAGTGCCTGAAGTTGCAGCATACACTGCACCAAAGCTCTCAGCAGATCTCTGAGGTATTTCTGTGGTCCAACTCAGGCCTGCAGAACAAATCTGCTCCGACAGCCATCACCAGGGCAGGCTGTGGAAAGCTTATAACTTGTACTGCACAGTTTCTGCTCAGTCCATTCCCATCACAGTGACATATACAACTGCAAAAGAGGAACTTAGAGGGCAGAGTTGGCTTTTTAGCAGAACATAGCCTAATACAAAATTGTCCCAGAAATGGCAGTCATGAGGGTTAGGCTTCAGTGTGACAGACTTACATCTCTGCTGAACAAGGTACCTGCTAGATTTTAGAATTCAACTTGCTGCTGTGAGTTGTGTGCTTCTCAAACTGACAGCATTTTTAGCTGCTTTGTAATTATGTTTACAACTTGTCACAGCCATAACTGGTGTCAAGCTGTCAGCATGATTAAGAAAGAGAAAGAAAGAAAGAAATGTAAAATTCGAAGATTTAAAAGAACTCTCATTTTTGTAATGATCAGTGCACTTTTGAACCTTTTCAAGTGATGCTTTGGGCTGTAGATGTACCAGTAAACAGTGCAAGCCAGGAAACATTTTCTGGCCTGGAGACCAGCTACAGAGACAGCTTCTATTCATGCTCACAGATTCTCCCAGCCCCCTCCAAAAATAACACCAGGAACAACTCCCAGCCTTTGCTGTCCCCTAGCTGTGCCACGATGCTGCTTGAAAGAGTGCTAGCTGGAATAGGTCAAAGTGCATCAAGGACTACTCTAGCAATTTAGTGGTATGGACCACTGTAAGCCTATATTATGAACTTGTTTAGTTTAAAACAGATGATTTTTTAAGGCTAGAATCAGTATCTGTTGGCACACTTCATTATGAAATCTTCTCAGCCTGCCTAGACTACAGAAACAAGATGAGGAAGCTGAAGATGAGCCAAGTGAAGTGCAGGTGTTGGTAAGTCTAGCCTTAAGCCACGACACTGCATTTTCCCAAAGCCTCCACTACTGCTTGAGACAGGGCACTACCTTGGTAGAGCTGTTTCTTGCTTTGATGTCCATGTTGTATCAGAAAACTTTGTAAAATCACCAGAAAACTCACCTGTCCTGAATCTGACAAACATGTCGAAAACATAGATGATATCAGAGCAATAGTCCAGGAACAGCCACAATTTGATATGATCAACTTGTAGCTCATCAAAGCAGGCTCTAAAGAAACAAAGATAGAAATAAAGAACATTAGAACAACTGTATAACCACAGTGTGCTAGTGTGGACTGGCAATGAAATGAAGGGCAGCACATCTCCATGCCTAGACATCTGCAAACTAAAGCTGTGCCTAAACAGACACTAGGATCTGGCAGAATTCACAAATGTGAACACACAGATAGGGGCATGCAAGTGCCCCTACATTTAAATGTGCCTCAGATTTCACATGAAAGATCCCCAGGAATGCTCATCTCATACCCATAAACATCACCATGAAGGTGATTCTCAACTGAAATATTTGCTTCTGGGAGGCCAACCATCTGCATCTCTCCCTGCCATTTGGCACAAGGTGAACCCTTTCCACAGCACTCCGTTAGTTTGACTGAAGTTGTTTCCCACATCCCAAACAGGAAAGCAAACACTTGAGTAACATTTTCCCGTCCTTCAAGCATCCATAAATGCCTCGCATTAATTTAAGATGACCCCTCATTGCCTGCAGCCTTCCCCACTGTTCTCTATTGGAGGATTTGCTGATATACAAAGCTGGGAGGATTGGCTGACACACTTGAAGGCTGTGCTGCCATTCAACAGGACCTGGATAGGCTGGAGATGGGAGGAGAGGAACCTGATGAGGTTCAACAAAGTCAAGTGCAGAACTCTGCACCCAGGAAGGAAAAACTGCATGCATCAGTACAGGTTAGGGGTTGATCTGCTGGAAAGGAGCTCTGCACAGAAGAACCTGGGGGTCCTGGTGGGCAGCAGGCTGGTGATGAGCCAGCTGTTTGCCCCCTTGTGGCTAAGTAGGCCTGGGGTGCATCCTGGGGTGCACTGAAAAGAGCGTGGCCAGCAGGTCAGGGGAGGTGATCCTTCCCTGCTCCTTTTCCCTGGTGAGGCCACATCTGGAGCACTGTTTCCCATTCTGGGCTCCTCAGATCAAGAAAAACAGAGAATTTCTAGACAGAGTCCAGCAGAGGGATGCAAAGAAGATGAGAGGTCTGGAGCATCCCCTTTGTGAGGAAAGGCTGAGACCTGGGGCTGTTCAGCCTGGAGAAGGAAAGGCTGAGGTGGGAGCCTATCAATGCTTATAAATTTCTAATGGGCGGGGGTCAAATTGATGGCGCCAGGATGTTTCTGGTGGCTTCCAGCAACAGAATAAGGGGCAAGAGGCACAAAATGGAACACAGAAATATGAACATGAGGAAAACCTTTACTGTGAGGGTGACAGAGCACTGGAATGGGCTGTCCAGAGAGGTTGTAGAGACTCCTCTGGTGATTTTCAAAACCCGCCAGGATGCTTTCCTGTGCAACCTGCTGTAGGGAACTTGCTCTTACAGGGGTTGGACTAGATGATCTCCACAAGTCCCTTCCAACCCCCACGACTCCGTGATTCTGCGATTACAAAGCTGCCGAGCCTGCAGTGGCCAAGGCACATCTCTGCATCCAGCCAGTAGGTGGCACACCAAGGCCACAGCCAGCACGGGGATGCTCCTTGCACCTTACAGTCAGGTTTTTGAGGCAGATAAAGGAGAAGCATTGACCGGTTTTTCCCAGAGGAACTTACAAACATATGTAAATCTTCTAGGTAAGCAATTCATAAAAAACTACGGGGAGATCAGAGGATGATTTATGCAGAAAACACAGATACTTTAAATTTGAATCCCAAAATTGTTATTAACTTAAATCCATACCTGCATATAAGCATACACCAGTTATAGAATACAGGTGCTGCGATGATGGTCAGCCAGTTGTAATACATATTGCTTGAAGGATCAATCACAAAGACCTCTTTCTTCTGCCTGGAAAGCAAAACGTACATTTGTAGTGGAAATTTCACAGTAGCCTACTGGTATTCCCCTCCTTTGGAGGCCGCTCGTCTCATGGTTAACTCGCATCTGCTTGAGAAAGTACCTAAGCCATGACCCCTGATGAGATACTACCTTCATCCTATTTGAGATGCTCCATTCCTGCTTGGCACAGCTTTGGAACAAGTAAGTGGGATTGGAAAGAAAAACAGAGCTATTCAAATTGCTGAGGCTGAAAATAACACCTTTTCTGCATATGACCCCCACTAAAGACAAAGCAGAACATCTAAAAAGTATCTAAGTATCTAAAATACATCTAAAAACATCAACGTAAAAATCTACCTACACGTTAAAAAAAGAAAGCAGCTTTAATCTAATGAGCATTTCCTTTGCCATCTTCACAGCAGCATCTGAGCCATTTCTTCTCAAAAAAACTGGTCATTATCACAAAACTGGTGACCAAGAAATATGGTCTTTATACAACAGAGAACATTACCTCTTTCACTCTTGAAACATTTATTTTCTTTGAAGCTACTTTCCAGTACTGTAAAACTCAGGTTGTCTTTGCGTAGTAACTGATGCTGAAGAACACAGATTTGAACACAGGCTTTCAAATCAAAGCTTTGGTTAAGAAACTTGAGATACCCAGATCAAGTAGATTCCAGTTGGAAGCTGTTCCTACCTACACATCTCTATACTGACACAGTACACACTTAAATATATATAAATCATATTGAGTTTAGGTCAGCCTTTGGGGAACAAAACAAGGAACTATTTATATCAAAAGCATGCCAATGGTCTCATTTTGTTGCAGAAATACAGCAGCTCTTCCTGGTCAGCAAGAGAAAACTTCAGTAATCAGTAGTAAAGAACTATGCCAAGTTTAAGTAATCAGTTGTGCTGGTCAGTGTAATTATAGTAACTAAACTTATTAAGCAAACCTGTAGTTCTCTACATGTAAAATTTTTGTTCTTCATCCAAACTTCATTTTTGGTGTGAGCTCTAAATCGTTACAGATGTTCTGGAACCATGAAAATCCAGTTCAGATTTGCAAAGAGTGCTGCTATCCTAAAACGCCCCAATAGGAATAAAGTGATCTTGAACACGAAAACCAAATGCCCAGAGGTAGACAAACTCCCTTTTAATGTCCTGGGGAGCTGCTCATGAAGATCTAAACAACAATATTAAAGACACAACAAGTCTGTTGAGCAGTTGCACCCTTTCAAAAGCAAAAACATATAGAAGGTTTACGGTATAACATTCCGCAGCCTACAGATCAATAACTGTAGTAGGAGTTTTCCAGTTCAATATCATACCATGCTTTGGAGTGCAGGAGAGGTGTTACAAGTACATTTGTTATACTTACTCTTCCTTTTTTTTGTCATCTTTTTTATCATCTTTCTTTTCCTCTTTCTTTTCCTCCTTCTTTTCCTCCTTCTTTTCCTCTTTCTTTTCCTCTTTAACCTCTTTCTTTTCTTCCTTTTTGCTGTGCAACATATCGAAGTCTTAGAAATATTATCAATTCTCTAATAGCTAAGGGAGAGGGTGAATAGTGAGGTACAGGGAACTATTGACCTGGATTCTGGATGGGGTAGGACAGGATTTCTCAATGATACCATTTATCCAACTGGTATAAATGGTTCTCAGGCTTCTCAAACCAACACCACTACATTATACAACCAATTGGCTGATTCTGTGCATTAGTTACCCATGTTTTCTTGGCCTTTTCATACAGCAGTGTACCAGGCTGGTTTTAATTAAATGCTTCCAGTTTGTTCCATCTTTAGAATTTGAGCACTTAAAAAGAAATCTATTTAATGAGAACAGACCACAAAATGGCTTAACAAACGGCCAATATTCATGACATATACAGAACCTCACATTGACCCTCTGAAGCTTTATTGGTGATTACATGAAATGAGGCTGAACCTCTTCTCACAGTTGTTTAAAACCAACATAGCTGTGATTAATTGATTACCTCTGCTTTCAGCAACTGCCTTGGAGAAGAATCCCTGTCCATGTTTGAACAAAAGCAGCAAATATAGAGGAACAAGGTGCATCTCATTTCACTTAATCTCTGACATCCATCTGACACATACAAGGAAGTTATTTTGTAAATGTTTTATTGTCAACACAATTAATATGAGCTATTTTAGATCTCTGTAACAGGACAAGATGACTTGTGACTGGAAGAAGATAGCACTTACCAATACAATAGGTCAGTGAACAACTTCTACCTATCAGCAATGTGTACATGCTCTAATTCTTACCCTTGGACATTTCCATAGAGACACAGTATCACAGTATAATTTGGAAACCCTCAGACTAATTTTGCTTAAAAAAAAAAAAAAAAGTTAGAAAAGTACCTATCAAATTAATCAACACCACTGAAACATTTAAAATTATACACTACAAGGGGCACAATTGGAAAATTATTCATACAAGCTTCCCAAGAAACAGTTTTTCATTCATCAAGGCTGACTTCTACACAGCAGCAGGAACTGCTACTCAAATGGTTTATTTCTCTGCCATTGGCCCCTTGGACTTCTACTGCATTTCTTTTAAATCTGTCCTGAAAACACCTTCCTACGTAGAAAACATGTCAGGATTTCTCTGTGCATTGCTATGCTTGGTGTCTGAAAAGCCAATGCACAGTTGCTGCTGTTAGCATTATCACGCTGCTGGGGAAAACTTCAAGAGTCTGGCATTCTTACTGGAATGGAAGAGATGGATACAAAGTAATACATTTCCAAAGGGCAGCGTCACCGCGTGTTTGTGGCTGTTAGCCAAGGAAAAGTAGGCTGAGATACAGAGTCAGTGAAAAAGTGGAAGTGAGGCTCTTCCATTTCTGCGGCTGCTGTTCATCTCTCGAGGTATCTCCTAACATCATAATCCCAGCTACCTGTAGTCTGGCAGTTGAGGTCACTTGGAAGAAAAGGTTGGCCATAATTGAAGTCTTGAAAGCACTACCTACAGTTCCCCAACAGCAGGAACTCACAGGTCTTCCGCACACGGGAAAAAACACAACTTCAGAAAGACCTGCATCTTTTTTCCCTTCTTAGTACAACTGAGTAAACTGTAATCCAGTTAACAGCTGTTTGTGCCTGTCATCACTGACAGCAATACAGTGGCATCTATTCAGTGTCTCCAGCACATTACAAGGAGCACCTTCAGACTCAGAAAATGCCGTCATTATCTCCAAAGAAACCCTGCCACCGTCTGTGAATGAGCTGAATATTTGCACTTCTCAGCTGTCGACTACTTTGCAAATCAAGTAATTTTCAGACGGTCAGGCAGGTAGACAGACAGGTGTTGTCTTCAGTCAGCAATAATGCAACACCTGAAGGATGTAAGTTGTGCCCGAGGTCCACGAGTCACTGTCAGAAACAGGCTAAGCAGCATTTCCATTCCCATCAGTCCTTTGGGCCCTGGCGAGTGTGCCAGGCTCCAGGCTTCCAGCACCTTTAATTTTCCCCGTCTAAATAAAATGCTGCACATTTCTGTCACTGTTTGCTGCACTTCCATTTCAGCTTTAACAAAATTTATGCGAGCCAAACCAAACACTGCTTCAGGAGCAGGAAGATCTATTGAGATATGTGCACAAAACTTTCACAGCATCACTTCTAAACGAAATTTGCTGCTAGTCCGTGACATAAAAATCTACTGCTAGACGCTACAGAGGAGGTATGTCTTCAAATAGCTGTGGTTTAATACATGCAACGAGCATTAATGTTGAGTGATTTTAAATTACAGGAGTTCTTCACCTTTTCAAGAGATTTCTCTTTGGTCTGAAACTGTAAAATATCCTTGCCAAATAAATAAAATAGAGCAGCTTCTGTCAAAACTTCTGTTGCAATGGAAGCCTTATTATGTTGCCTATCACACTCTCTACATCTACAGCAACCATATCAGGCTGAGTTAAAACACACATTTTAGAAAGAAGGTTAGTGTTCATTTTGAATGCCTACAGAAAGGGTTTATTGGCACCCTGCTCCGTATCCACATCTCATGTGACAACTTTGAAATTTTGGGGGCGCTGAAGATTTCCGGAAGGAGATTGAGTATGTTAGAAGAGGAAAAGGACCATCAGAAAATGAATATCTTATTCTCATTTTAAAATTGAAGCATTAATAGAGCAATTGGTAATGCAGTGAAATCAGCCAGTTGAATAAAAGGAGGTAAGGACCAAATGCTTAATTAATCCGATTCGTTCCTTGGAAAGTAAGGGTAACCAGACAAAAGGGATCACGAAGGATGCTTCTAATACTGAGAAAACTAGATCTTTCTTTATAATTAAAACCTTAGAAAGGCTTAAAGCCTTAGAAAGGGCTTAAGAAGAGACAAGGAGTTCATACTACAAATGTTACGAGGCTGGAAAGGGAAAAAAAAGGAGCTAGCAGCAGAAGGGCATATGGAAGTTACCAGTACTTACTCTTCATTGGTGTTGTTGCTAAAGTTGACATTAAACCTGGCCAAGGGCCACGGACTGCAGCGATTGAAATAAAACATGTTGAAGAGCGTAAAGGTTTTTGGCATTTCATACACGTGTTTACCAACATGACAGCCTGACTTACTGGCCTCTCACATATACACTGATAAGATTAGGAAGGTCAACTTTGACTGCGGCGCTAAGCCCCTTTGCATAACTATTTCAAGGCACCAGTTTCTCTTTATCACGTGCTGGGCATACACGTTTGTGACCACACCTGATGGCTGAAGCTTGTTCTCAGGCGTATTAGTGCATGGTAACATGCAACTCACTATTTTTAGCCCTGTAAGCATTCGGTTGCTATTTTGAACATTCTCCAGTCCTTCCAAGTGTTCTTCACAAATGCAGCGCCAAGGCTTCTGTGACAAGCATACCTACCAGTGCTGCAAAGTTAAATTTTCACAGCAGAACAACTGAGAGTTAATGTAATACAGCCACAGTATAAGCAGGAGAAGGCAAGGATGGATACTTCCTTGTATAGAGGCTTCTTGGCCCAAGATCAGCGCTCTCCCTAATGATTTGGAACCTGCAACTGTTACTGATAGAGGCACCTGAAAAAAAATTGTCTGCTCACTTGAGCAATTAATGGACAGCAGACTGGCTAATTCAACAAAATGTGCTTTTAAGTTGAATTTCTAAGGAGCAGATCAAATGAAGATGATGAGGCTGTGTTCATCACTGACAACAAATCAATGTCACCTATACTACCATGCAGAGCCTCTTGAAGTTTCTGCTTTAATTTAACTTATTAGCTGGACTCTTGAAACAAATGAAGTGATTAATTGCTTACATTCCAATCTTTAACTAAGTAAAAAGCCATGGGATTCTGTGCTCCACAGCATACTGCCAAGCAGAAGGCAAACTTTTGTCTTTCGACTTCATTTTCCTCTCTTGGCTGGAGTTACATTTAGAACAGTAATTTACATATTCAGTCTTCCCCTGAAATCTAAGTACATCTGCTTACCTGTTTACTCCCCCAGGCTGTTCACGGATGCCCAGGAAGGAGCGGATGTTACTTTGCCTGCTGGACACCTCTACAAGCTCTGGCCCTCGGATACGCTCTAGGAAAGAATCAGGCCTTTGGTCTTCATGGTGTAGATGTCTTGTGGCCCACGACCTCAGAGATACAACAAATCGTGACAGCCTGTGCAGAACAGACACACAACACTGACTGAACCACACAAGGATGGATTAAGTTTTCCCCACAGTATCAGTTCAGGGGGATTTTTCTCCACTTCTGCACCTGACACTGAAATGAGGCCTGATAGATTAACAGTGTGAACTTAAGACACTTTCCACAATTTCATACATCATCTCCTGTAATTGATCAGGAAAGTATCTCACACATCATCACTGTACCAGCACTGCAGAGGTGACAGAAAAACTCCGATTAAAGATGGATTTGCCAAGTGGTCACAATGGAGTCAAAAAACTTCTGACCTTATGTGATAATGAGGAATCTTGGACTGACAGATCAGGAGACATAAAATACTCACAAGAACGTATTCTCAGGGTACACACAGTAGAAAAAAATGCTGAATAGTTGGTGAAAAAGGATGAACTTTGCAAGAAGGAATGGTAAAATTTCAGTCACTTCCCCTTAGGTTGTAAAGAGTCTGTCTGCAGATACATTAATTGCACACTGCTCATAAACCTGCCTACTGCATAGACAGCACTATTTCCTCATCCTAAATTTCAAGCAGAGCACTGAAATTGGATAAGCAGAACATCATGGCAACAAAACTAACTTATCACTGTATTGTTACGACTCATTTTATGCTCCCACTGACTGACTGAAACACATCACAAATTCTTGTAATGTTACCAAAGTTCAAACAAAAACGTGCTTCTGAAAAACAACAGACACTGAAATATATAGATAAGATTTTATTGACTCCCCAAACAATATTCTTTATTCTTTCTCATTAGCAGACCAATTTGGACAAAAGTAGTGTTACTTCAAGTTTCCCAACCTTGTCCATGAAAATGCCGTAATGAAATCCTCAACAACCCGTAACTTCTTACAGGAGCTCTGGGCTACTCAAGGAAAGCTCTTCACATTCCCTTCATGTTGGACAATATTAAAATCTTATGATGAAGTACACTTGTCTTACTGCACTTCTCCAGGGCCTAACTATACCATCTCATAGATCTTGCCCAAGATTTCTTACCTTGAAACAAAAGGACAAATAAAGCAGGAACAATACCACATGTCAGAAATTAGAGAAAGACATTTTTAGCTCTTTATTCCTATACCAACAAAGCATCATATAAATCATCACCAATGTCCAACAACTAAGAGAATTCAAAATCTACCAGGAATGCAAAATTAAAACAAAGCTCCACGTCAAAGTCTGAGATGAATTAATAGATTCCTAACTCATTTAGAAAGCATTGCATAAAATTAAATTGTGATTTTTTTCCTCTTTATCTGAGCAGAACTCAGCTTTCACATAAGAAGTGGTGTGAAAAACCAGTGACATGGATGCTCTTACTTATATTAGAAAACAAGGCATTGTGAGAACTGTTAGTTAAGAAGCCAAACAGATTCCACAAAATAAGATTGAGAACTTCTCTATTTGAAGAAAGAAAGCCTTTTCTTATTTCTGCCATACTGTTTTATTCTCACCTTTTTTGTCCTAAGATACTCTCAGTAAGAAGTCCAGCAGAGGCTGTTATCTTAGGTCTTTGAGAATCTGCATTTGAGAGGCATGTTATACTACTATACTTTATTTAAACTGCTGAGCATTCGTGTTTGTATCAAAGGTTTCCTTGCAGATTCAGAGAGTAAGAAATTGAAGTTATACATACATGTAACTCAAAGTATTCTGGAAAAGGGTATAGAATAATATAAACTAACATTAAGAAGCTTTCAGTATTGATTTACACATGTAGGTGCTTTCAACATACACCAAAAAACATGTTTTCCACCTAAAACCAACTTCTTGCAGACTTCGTAATGTACACACAGTGGTGTCATCACCTGACAACCAAATAAGGCAACACAAGTTTGTTCTCTACCACCCAAAACCTTGAAATGTAAACTCTTTAAATGACTCTAGTTTTATAGCAATATTTTTCTTTGAAATACACTGTGCTTAAACTCAGTATGCTCTGTAGCATGTACCATCATGGCATCAGGAGAGAGAGTGCTCTGCAGTCTCAGTTGGAAATCCTTCAAGTCAACACAAAAAGTTTTTGAAGCTCTGTTTCAAGTTTGTGTTTTAAGTCTATGTAAAGTAAATGACTTGAGCAAATGGTTGACTTGAAATTCGTTGTCTCAGGCTCCCATTTCATTACAAACAAAAGTGGATTCTAGAAACAGAAATTCCTGCATTCACAACACAAACACCCCATCTCCTCCTTTGCCAGAGATACCCGTCAACAAGGCAACAATCGTTAGCCCATACCTGATAGGAAAATAACACGGCATCAGCTACCAGCCAGAACCACTTATCCATTTACTCTACAGTCTTGAGTCATTCCTGCTGTCACTTCTTGCATTTGCTCAGCATTCAATAATTTTCAAATCAGATCTTGTAAAAAAAAAAAATCTTTTTCTTTAATCAGACTAATTTGTGTGAGCTCATCCAGCACCTCTAGGATCCCAAGGCTTTTATTACAAACAAGTAAGCAATGAGTTCAGAATCGATGTCTAAAGAAGCCTCAGTCACGTTCTATACAGGATCCTGAGCTGCACTCCATCCATCTTCTTTGGAAAGTGATGGCTCTTCTTACTTTACCTTGAAATAAATAGTGATCTGTCTCTTTCAAATATGGTAATACTGAAAATGGTGTTAATTAGCATGTTACCTTGCCATTGCTCCCCTGCCTGTGAATGGGCTCGCTTGTGATCCAGATAGATGTCTTCCCTCCATAGAAATGACTCTCTGCAGCTCTGAAGATGTATCCTCGCACAGTGAATGGGTTCTGCAAAAGGAAATGGTTTTTAAATTATATTCAGCCTCCAGCAGATTTTCCCCCCATCCAATTATTAACACCACTGCACCAGAAAACAATATTGCAAATTATCCTCTTTCTACTAATAAGACATGCATTTGATAACTGTACAGTGAAACCCATATTCCCACTTTTCTGGAGCCATCCAACATGAATGAGGCAGACGAGGCTCTGCCATCTGCCCCCGCAAGGTCAGAAGCTGATTTCTTACATGTCAATTACCACTCTGGTGATACACAATTAAGAGAAGAACACTTCATAGAATCATAGAATCACAGAGTGGCCTGGGTTGAAAAGGACCACAATGATCATCTGGTTTCAACCCCCCTGCTCTGTGCAGGATCACCAACCACCAGACCAGGCTGCCCAGAGCCACATCCAGCCTGGCCTTGAATGCCTCCAGGGATGGGGCATCCACAGCCTCCTTGGGCATATTTGCTAGTCTCCTAGCACTCCTCCTGAACTGCATCAGCAGCTTTCCTTCAGCAGGGAGGAAAGTTCCGTGCCTCCAGGGGGCTTCAAAGTGACTGCCCACTGTTTTTTTCAGTATTGATCTCCTAGACCTTGTTTGGGTTTAACAGTCTGATATTTCCACCAATGTGGTTCCATTTTATGACTCAAAGCAAACACCTCTTTTTCCTTTTGCTCCTTGTCTAGACTGAAATGGAAAAACACTGATTCTACAGTAGATAACACTGAGTAGCACCACTACTGTTCTTACTCGCTCCATAAGTGAAAATCAGCCTACTGCATGGTAAAACAGGCTTATAGATGTTCAGAGCTACTCTGGTGGTGATGAGACACAGAAAACAATGCAGAATCTCAGCTGCATGCAACTGCAGATAGTGATTATACTGTCAAGTCACATGCAGTGTCTGCCAGCTCACGTGAGTTCTTGTAAGACTGCTTATTAGCACAGAAATAATTAGACTGAAAAATAATAGATGAAGCTTTGGCTTTATCTTTCTGTAATGGAGTTTTGGAACTGACTTCAGTGGAACCAGGACTTCATCAAAGCTCACTGTGGATTTTTTTATGACTCCTGAGGCTTTCTCTGTGTTTTCCTTTACAAGATGCCATCACCACGTTTCATGAAGGATCACGTTTTTCTCCCTTCGTAACGCAAACAATCTCTCACATGACTCTGTTAATCCACACTGCCACGAAAGCACTGAATATGATGATACTTACACTAACTTCCTAAGAACTGGCAGCAGCATTTTGAGTGCCAGCAACAGGATAATTAGCAGCTTAGTTTTGTCTGTACTCACAGCAGGGAAGCTGGCAGACAAAGAATTAAAACTTCATTGCATCTCCACACTACAAAAGATAGTGACTCCTGGGATTCACAATTTCTTAATTGTTTTCTTTTCCTCTTCTAATAAGACACCAAGAGATACAGGTTAGAATTGAAAAAGTTTTACAACCCAGTTTACGTTGTGGGCGCAGTTCACGTTGTGTTGGGGTTGCCAAGGTCAACCCAGCTCCTAGGGGACAACGAGCAAACTCATGGGACAGAAACCCATTACAGGCCACTGGATACACAGGGCCTACACCCAGCTTAGGAATTCTGCTGAGCTGGATGCTAGGACTAAGGCAAGCATAGATACTTGCAGTTTGCTCCTTTATCCCCGCTCTGTTTCTTTTCCTGAAGCATCTGCACTCCTGCTGGGGAAGGGTTGACAGCATCCTTTAGACTGCAGTGCTATGCCTGTTTTTACTACCTTGTATTCCTCCTTACAGGAAAATATATATCTTGCTTGTTCTTAAACAGCATGGATTCTAATGTTGCTATTGTTCTTACTTACTGATCACCATCATTTTTGAGTCCTGAAAAGACATTTTCAAAGGAGGCAGAAAGAATTCTTAGAAAATTATTTTAATTAACAGAACACAGGTTTGAAGAAAAAAAGAGGAGTATTTAACCTGCAGCAGCTTAACTGCTTTTAGTAAATTCAGGTTTACTTCACAAAAAAAGTTGCAGCATGTACAGACAACTCAAGAATATCAAAAGAAGTTTGCAGAAACAGCACTGAAGGGCTTGCATTTCACCTTTACAGTAATACTCATAGGACTCTACCAGGCAGCTGCTGTGGAAGCATCTGTCCAACATTACACAGCAATTATAAACACATTCCACTTTAATTCACACAAGCAAACTGAAAAGTAAATCTAAAATGCTCTCTTCCTTCCACTATTGTAACTCCTTATAAAACTCACAAGCTCATTTCTGATTTTTCTCAACCACGTTCACACAACACAAGAGAACTCATTTGTAAACTGACTTTCTATCAGTGCAGAGGAAGGTTACAGACTGGGCTTCTGAAGTAACACCTTCAGTGCACGTGGCCTAATTCTGACTTTATTTTTATGAACACAGACTCACTCCTATGCCAGACTCCATGAGTTTGGCTGGTATCTGCAGCAGAACAGAAAGGACTGCCATTATTGTCCCATTATGTTACATAGTTTGAAACCACCACGAGAAGAGACTACACAACGTTAAGAAACAGAGAGCAGGTTACAAAATAGGAACACTAGATAACTGAACCTCCTCAGCTTAAGTTGAAACCCTGGATATAAATTCAGACTGGGGGATGAGAGGCTTGTATAGCAGACCTGCAGAAAGGGATTTGGGGGTTCTTCACCAAAGTGTGGTCAGGCCCTGGAACAGGCTCTCTTGGGGTCAAGGCACTGAACCTACTGGAGTTCAAGAAGCATTTGGACACCACTCTCAGAGGGCTTGAATTTGGGGTGGTGCTGTGGGGAGCCAGGAGTTGGATGATCCTCATTGGATACTGTTTCCCACACCTTTCTCCTAGGGAAACTGGCTGCTCCTGGCTTGGAGAGATGTATGGTTCACTGGAGTAAAAACTGGCTGGATAGTCAGGCCCCAAAGGTCATTATGAATGAGTTAAATCCACAGATGGTGTGCTCCAGGGCTCAGTACTGGGGCTAGTTTTGTTTAAAATATTTATGAACAAGTTTGATGAAGGGATTGAGTGCACACTGAGTACATTAGCAGATGACACCAGGGTGGGCAGGAGTGCTGATGTGTCAGTTGTTCTTCCCTTACCCACCAATGCTCTAACCCCATCACAGAAAGCCACTACATTTGGCAGGCAGAATTTGCCCTTAGTGGAGCCATACTGCCACCAACCACCTCTTTGTCTTCCATGTTCCTTAGCACAGTTTCTATAAGGATCAGCTCCATTATCTTGCAGGGTAGAGGCAAGACTGGTCTGTAGTTCCCTGGATCTTCCTTTTTCTCCTTGTTTAAAAATGGGGGTTATGTTTCCCCTTTTCCAGTCAGTGATAATTTCATCAGACTGCCACAGCTTCTCAAATACAATGGATAGTAGCTTAGCTACTTCATCTGCCAGATGAGCAAATTACAATTTGAAGACCACCAGCAGCTTTCTGTTAATTGTTCCAGTGAGTGCTTTTCTTTGATAACACCGCATTCCACTACAGGAAAGCACTTAAGCACATCTTAGCATTAAGCACAAAATTAACACCCACCGACTGTAATGGGAACTAAGTAATGTGCTTAATTGTTTTCTTGAACTAGAGCCAGCAGGACTTAAATGAAAATAAGGAGCAGTGTCACTAGTCTAGAAAACCTATGGTTGGCTGGATTGATTGTTTGTTTGTTTTCCCCTGTGTTTACGGTTTTAATTTTTGCTAATCTGAATTTCAAAAATGCGTATCAGAATTTCTTGCATGAAGTTGCATGAAGTCTTGCATGAAGACCAATGCCCCACAGCTGTCTTCAATGCGAAGATCTGAAAGTGGCAGTTTCTGCTGACAGTGATTGAGGTTTTAAGTTCAGAACTGGAAAGAGAAACAATCTGCGATGTTCGTGACAGATAATGCATGAAATACGTTTTATTTGCTCCCCTCACCATAATTCCCATTGTCTTTTTGTGGAAAAAAGGATTAACTTTTGCCAAAAGAAACAGAATGGAAGGTTTCTATCTTATAAAAGAAAATTAAAAATTGTCTTCTGTTAAATAACAATCATATTCTCATAGATTCAGTGGTTTAAAATGCATGTGTGTCCTAATGAACACAAGCATATTGAGTTTTGCCCATATACATACCAATTTTTTAGCTGTATTACAAAAGTATTATATAACCATTTTTTGGCATTCACTTCAGCAACAGAAAAACCTTAAATGTGAGATCTCTTTTACAGAGCGACCCTGTAATCGTTTTTTACTCATCTATGAAATCCCATAATCAATGCTGACCACAATGAACTTCATTTTAAATAAATGGTCCATCAAGACTCTTATCATCATAAAGTGTAATTCATACTTTCGCCCCCTTATGTTTAAGTCATTGCCTCATTGACTGCAGCCATTTAATTCTACATTCAAACCTTTGTAACTACGCTTCTCACTTCCACTAGTAAGTTCTAAGCTGCCAATCACTGATATTTTCTACCAAAAAAAAGGGGCATAAAATGAAGGCTCAATGCAATGTGTGTTTTCCCTGCTTCTGAGGTACGGTTGTAAATGAAGACAAAGAGACATGATGCTTGCAATCTCTCGAAGAACAACATGAAGCAGTATTAACTAAATCAAGCAAGCCATACTGCAGAGAATAAAAGCAGTTCCATTTTCACTAGTGTGAGTACACCTACATACCAGAAGGTATCACATAAGCAAAGCAGAAATGGAAAAAAAATAAATAACGTGAAGAGGACAAGGATCACATCCACACAACACGCTAGGGGCACATGATCCCAAATTATCACAATATAAGCAGTTCTAACAGGCTTTTAAATATTTGGTCAACAAGAGTCAGTCTGACAAAGCCCCCACAGCTGAGGCAGTTGGCCACAAGAAGCCAAAAGCAGGCAACGTTTTCCAGCCTGCACAAGTGCTGTATATCATCAGACAATTTCTTTCAGTAGCATTTGCCCAGACCAGAGAAATGACTGGAACTGCATAAAATACAAGTGTACAGCACAAAGGCATATTTTATGCAGCCACTTAAAAAAAAACCCTGAAACAGAGAAAAGTGAGTGTAAGGAAACAAGTACAGCTCAACTGTACAGTGTGAAGCTCTGAAAAGCCAGTAAAAAAAACATTGTTATGCTTTATATGCTACACATGTTTCCTAACAGTGGAGCTAAACAGTTTGAAGAAGTTGCTTTTAAAAACTTTCCTAAGGCTTTTCACTGCAAAGTACTGGCAAGAGCCTTTTTTCTCCTCATCCCATACACACTCCAAGTGCAGGTTCTTGCAAGCTGATTCAAGAAAGATGCTTATCCTTATAGAGATGGTGTAATTCCCATCAATGGGAAAATGTGTTTTATTCCTCAGGTGATATAGGTCCTGGATACAAAACTGCAAACCATGATAACCTTCCCATTGCTGTCTGTTCTGTACTTTGGAAATACACCATTAGGTCATTTAAATACAAAGGGTCAACGGAGATGTGATCACTTCCAAAATACAGATACAGAGAACTGCCCCAAATTCTGTGGCTATCTGATTGCGATGAAACAAACGCATTACCTGATAAAGCCATTTTCAATCCTTTCAATATCTTCATCAGTAGTTCTGACAGACAGTCCATGCATGCCAGGGTAAGAGTGCTGGGTGTTGATTTTTGCCATTTTGCTTTACATATCAACATCTAATTGATAGCTGAAACACAGGGGAAAAAATGCATTTAATGAAGGCACCAAAAGCAATGTAACAGTTCTTAGAAACAGTGACTGACTACAACAAGAGGGCAGTAAAAAGCTAATTTAACCATTTTCATGGACAGCAATATTTATATACATAGTATGAGAGCCGTTCCCAGATTTACTTCTACCAGACAGAAGTGCTCATGAAACACATAACAATGAAAAAGCCCTGTAACAAGGAAAATCCATCAGGACCAACAAAAAGGTTTACGTGACACGACATTTTTTGTCTCTGGGGTTTCTGAATATCCACAGTGTCAGACATATTATCCACAGAGAAACTGCATTTAAAATTTCATTCAAAGACTACAGTTAGAAAGCAAAGCGGTTACGTGCTGGGACAACCAATCCGCTTCAAGTCAGTCCTCTTGTGCTAACCTGTTTCTGTTTTATGATGAAGTCTCTTATTCTGAAATTGCATAGGAAGCAAACAGATCATTAACCAAATGTGTCCTTCAGCTTAATACACAGCATCCATTAATCATACATTATCCAAACAATGTGCTAAACATTTCTTCTGTTGCCTTCTCGTCTATCATTCTTATGGCAGCGCTTCAAGACAAAGTCTGTTGAGATATCTAACCATCCAACTCCTGTAAGATTTAGGAAAGTTATTCAACTTAATTCCTTTCCAGATGTGCCCCTCAGTGCCTTACCAACGTAAGTAAAACAGCTTTTAAGAGTCAACACAAGTGCTTTAAAAATGGCAGTCTGAAAGACTTCACTGCAAGTTCTGAATTTTGAATTTTTTTTAACTATTGAAGCCCTGGTCAGGGACCTTTTCTATCCGAGACATCTCTAGAAGCAATTTCTCCTGGGATCTGGCCACTGCTTCAGATCATCTAATGTCCTTTTCTCACCTGTATGGTCTTAAGACCACACAGCATGCAACTAGCGGCAAACAAAATACAGACACAAAAACTCTCCCCTGCATCGCTCCTGAAGTAAAACTCATTGCCCACTAACAGGTCTATGTTATGCACTCAGCTTCTTAAAAGACAGATGCTTGACTTACCCTCCATCCAAATCCCAGAGACCTAAAGGAAATGGCATATAACTTTTAAAGGAATTTAATATATTTCAAAACGTAAAACAGACTAACTTAAATTTTGCATCCAGAAATAATAAAATTGGCCTGGAAATAGCCCCTGGATATCTTACTTAACACCTGAAAATCTGGTTAGTGTTTCTTATTTCTAATCTTACCTCAACACAGGTCAACTGATACATGTCTGATCTTAAACCCAGCCCTGCACATACCAGGTAACTTCAGCTTTTCTGGGGAGAAAATCAGCATTTCTACGACACACCGATATAAATAGAGGATTTTCAACCCACTCTTAGATCTGAATGTTCACTGAGAAGAACTGATTCCTAAGACATGGATGATTTATACTGAAAACTGCACACAAAAATGTTAACTGAATCATTTTCACAAGATGAATCAATTTGTTATGTTCAAAGAATTATTTCTACAATTCTGTTAAGGTATATCCATTATAAATATCAAGGAATACCATTTCTTTTCAACCAATTCAGCCTTGGATGGACAAACATTTTAATAAATTAACTAGCTGAATGAGCAGTTTCCAAAGTAGATATGATACCAATTTCTCTTATCTCTGAGAAAAATTATCGTTAACTATTTGTGAGTTACAATTATTGCTTCTATTACAGGCTTTGTACAACAGAATTAGATAAATTACATGCAATAGTGACTTGGTGATGAGTAGATTTATTTTGCTACAGCAGTAACTCCCATTTCTCATATATTAATTTGAAGATAGTTCAAGGTAAAATGTCTTTGTTCTTTTGTTACTACTGATGATGGCCTCCAATTTATGTTCTCACTTCCCAGGTTCCAAGGCTTGAAGTTATACTGGTAGGCTCTAACACAGTAGCCAGGTTGTCACAACTGCTTCACTTAAAAGCAGAGCAGCATGCCCCTTGCTGGCAAATTGTTGTGCTCATACAGAAAGTAAGGCACAAGAGCAAACTGCTTCTTTCTGTGAATAGTTACTCTTGCTACCTATTGCATTTCCGCTGTTTTCAGCTATACACTGGAAGTCCAATGCAAGATAATTTAGGAATAAGAATGGCCAGCAGGGAGAGGGAGGTGATTGTCCCCCTCTGCTCAGCTCTTGTGAGGCCCCATCAGGAGTACTGCATCCAGGCCTGAGGCCCCCAGCAAAAGAAGGGCGTGGAGCTCTTAGAATGGGTCCAGAGGAGGGTCGCTAAGATGATCAGAGGGCTGGAGCACCTCTCCTGTGAGGAAAGGTTGAGAGAACTGGGACTGTTTAGCTTGCAGAAGAGAAGGCTCTGGGGAGACCTCATTGTGGCCTTCCAATACTTGAAGGTAGCATATAAACAGGAGGGGGAATGGCTGTTTACGAGGGTGGAGAGTGATAGGACAAGGGGGAATGGTTTTAAAATGAGACAGGGGAGGTTTAGGTTAGATATTAGGAGGAAGTTTTTCACAGAGGGTGGTGACACACTGGAACAGGTTGCCCAAGGAGGCTGTGGATGCCCCATCCCTGGAGGCATTCAAGGCCAGGCTGGATGTGGCTCTGGGCAGCCTGGTCTGGTGGTTGGCCACCCTGCACATAGCAGGGGGGGTTGAAACTAGAAAGAAAACATTATGATCCTCTTCCACCCAGGCCATTCTATGATTCCTTCAAAACTCAGCCAATTGTTTGTTGTTGTCATTTAAATCAAAATAGAATTTTGAGAGAGAAATTATTCCCCCCTATTCCAATCAACACCATAACGCATCCACCATTGGACTTGCACGTTATTCTACTTCAAAGCTTTAAAAGCTTGATAATGAGAAAATCAGAATGATTCATAAGTGACAGAGCACAAGCTTTTTTTAAGGGTAGACTTCCAAAACCAAGTTAGTGCCAAGTTAAGATCATAGCATCGTAGAATGGCTTGGGTTGGAAGGGACCTCTAGGATCATCAAGTTCCAACCCCTCCGCCACAGGCAGGGTTGCCAGTCACTAGATTAAGTACTAGAGCAGTTGCCCAGGGCCCCATGCAACCCAACCTTTACCAGTACCTGCCACCGAACGTAACAAAAACCTTGCCACTAGCTCCAATGATTCGCTAATTCATGTCTATCTACAGCAGTTCTTAAACCAGGATCACCTGGCTTAGAGTCTCCAATAAAATGAATAACTGCACAGACAACAGAAGTATGAGATAATAAAAACCTAGAGGTGTAGGCATGATGTAGCTTGTTTGCTGTCAACATGCAGCATCTCACTAAAAAGAAACACCGGGAAAGCAGCATGGCATGCTGCAGGAAATTCAGGAGACTCCAGGAGTGCACTGAGGATAACCTCAAGGTCCAGGTAGTAAATAAATCAACCAAAGATGAAGCATTAGTGGACCTGGTGCTGACCTACACAGAGGAGACCATAAAAAAAGGTTAATATTGGAAGCAGAGATCACGGCCTGGCTGAGTTTGTCATCTCAAGGAATAGAGGCCTAGCAAAAAGCGAAGTCAGGAACCTGAACTTCAGGAGAGCAAAATTCCAGCTGTTTAAGAAATTGCTGGACAGGATTCCCTGGGAAGCTGTCCTTATGGACAAGAGAGCAGAGCTGGCAGCTCTTCAAGGACACCTTTCTGAGAACACAAGAGCTCTCTGTCTCCCAGTAGAGGAAAACAAGCAGAAGAGGCAGGAAACTGGCATGACTAGGCAAGGACCTGTTGGTTAAACTGAGGGGAAAAAAGGGGGCATGTACAGGAAGCAAAAGCAGGGATTTGAGACTGAGGAATAATGCAGAAATGAGATCAGGAAAGCCCTAAGGCACACATGAAACAGAACCTAGCAAGGGATGTGAAATGTAACAAGAAGGGATTGTACAGGTACATTAGTTGGAAGAGACAGGCCAAGGAGAGTATACCTCCATCTGGTAAATGAGAAGGGAGAACTCACTACAACAGATGTCACTCAACATACTCAACGAGTTATTTGCCTCAGTCTTCACTGGAAGTCAGCATGGCTTCACAAAGTGCAGATCGTGCCTGACCAACCTCATGGCCTCCTACAATGGAGTCATCAGTGGATGAAGGAAGGGCGACTGATGTCATATAGCTGGATTTGTGCAGCACCTTTGACATGCTCCTACACCACGTCCTTATCTCTAAACTGGAGAAATACAGATTTGAAGGGTGGAATATTCAGTGGATAAAGAATTGGTTGGACAGCCACAGCCAGAGGGTTATGGTTAATGGCTCTACGTCCAGGGTGGAGGCCAATAACAATTAGTGCCTTTCCCCAGGATCCTGTTTTGGGAACAGTGCTCTTCCATATCTTTACTAATGATAAATACAACGGGATTGAGTGCATCCTCAGCAAGTTTGCAGACAACACCAAGATGAATGTTGCAGTTAATATGACAGAAGGAAAGGATGCCATCCCAAAGAACCTAGATACACTTGAGAAGAGGGCCCACAAGAACCAAATGAGAGTCAGTAAGGCCAAAGTACACAGTGCTGCACTTGGGTCAGGGCAATCCCAGATCCGAGTACAGACTGGGAGAAGAACTCATTAAGAGCAGCCCTGTGGAGAAGGATTTGGGGCTCCTGGTGGACAAGAAGAGGGACAAGAGCCAGCAGCACGCACTTGCAGCACAGAAGGCCAGCGATATCCTGGGCTGCATCAACAGAGGGGTGGCCAGCAGAGAGAGGGAGGGGAATGTTCTCCTCTGCTCTAGCCTCATGACTCCCTGTCTGGAGTACTGTGTCCAGGCCTGGCACTCCTGGCACAAGAAGGATTGCAGAGCTGTTGGAGAAGGTCCAGAGGAGGGCACGAGTATGATCAGAGGGCTACTAGTAAGAAAGGCTCAGGCAGGTGGGTTTGTTCAGCCTGGAGAGGAGAAAGCTCTGCAAAGATCTTACTGTGACCTTCTAGTACTTAAAAGGAAGCTCGTAAACAGAAGGGATACTGA